TATAGTCTGAACACACCACCAGGTACCAAATTTTTTGTGATGAAAAGTATTAATGTTCATGAAAATTTGTTATTTCTTGGACCTGGATTGTTAAAAGTTTTGGGTGGTGAAGTAGAAGAGATGATTAAAGAATGGAAAGTTGGAAGGGTATATATATATATCCAAGTTTTTATTATTTTGTATTTTAATATGAAAGTTAAAAAAACCTTTATTATTTTTAATAATGAGTGTTTATTTTTTTATTTTTATTTTTTTTTTACTTTTATCTATTATTTATCAAACAATATTAATATTTTTATTTATTATTTTTAGCAATTCATTACTCGACGTTCTACGGTGTCTGCAAAAAAAAGTGAAGGTGCCGTAAAAGATGATGATGGTCCTCCTCCATTTGTTCCTTTCAAGATTAAAAGCTCTGATTATCAATCGTCTCAACATGTTAATAATAATCAATCTAATGAGTCGGTTAGGCCTAATAACAAGGATAAAAAAGATCATTACGATAATAGGCGGGATAGCCACGATAATAGGCGGGATAATCACGATAATAGGCATGATAGCCACGATAATAGGCGGGATAATCACGATAATAGGCGTGATAATAATGATAATAGGCGGGATAATAATGATAATAGGCGGGATAATAATGATAATAGGCGAGACAATAATGATAATAGGCGAGATAATAATGATAATAGGCAGGATCAATACAATAACAGGCAGGATCAATACAATAACAGGCCGGATCAATACAATAACAGGCCGGATCAATACAATAACAGGCCGGATCAATATAATAATAGGCCGGATCAATACAATAATAGGCCGGATCAATACAATAATAGGCAGGATCAATACAATAATAGGCCGGATCAATATGATAATAGGCGTGATCAATATGATAATAGGCGTGGTCAATATGATAATAGGCGTGGTCAATATGATAATAGGCAAAATTCTCGGCGACCAAATCAAAATAATTATAGTAATAGAGGACATCATCGAGGCAGAGGTGGTCACCATAATAATAATAATTCTTATCAACAAAATATAGTAGCAGATTTTGATGATAATTATTCTTCTAGTCAATATACAAATACAACTCGTAATGAGCATCAAAATCATCATCATCGTGGACATGGTAGTAGGAAATATGGTAGAGGTAGAAGTGATTATCGTGAGCAAAGATATTAAATTAATACGAAAAATTTAGTAAAAATTTTATCATATTATTATAGATTATAATATATATATTTCTATATTGTAGTTACGAGTTATGTAATAAAAATTTGTTTTATAATATTAAAATTTATTTAAATATTTACTAATATAAAAATTTTAAAAAATTTTCAACCAACTAATCGATTACAAATTTTGTTCTGATTCGTATCATTACCTACCTACCCGACTATTGCATTCTTGAATTTATAAAACTATACGACTGTTATTATTTGCAAAAATAGGCAACACAAATATCCATAATAGTATGGGTGACCTGATACTATAAAAATTGTGATTATTATTAGTGATCTGATTTAGTTACAAGCGACATACCTTTGTACTAATAAAATATTATATAGAACTCATACCTTGTTAAAATAAAATATGATTTTTGAAATTGATAATGAACCTGAATTATTTTACTCCAAATGCGCACGTCTTACTGAGTATTTAAAGAAAATTTTATTTAAACAGTTGATCTTATAGGCAGGCCTACCGAATAATTGATTATTGAGGCAATTTTTTTTGAACTCAATTAATTGATTGGTGGCGCAGTCACAATGATCGCAATTTTGATGTGATGAATTTTTTGCGTGACTAATACTATTAATTAGTAAATCCTTATTTGTCACATAAAATGATTCATCGCAACCATGTGGCAAATGGTAAATATTGCGATTGCAATTATTTCGTCATTTAATTGGGTTTTCAATTAAAATTAATGATAATTTAATTGATTTTAATTGTATGATGTATAACAAAAATTAATTTTAATTGATTTTTCGGTATGCCTGCTTATAGGTAATACTATATATTATAGAATTTTAATCACGTTATATCGATATGATTATCATTGCAAATTAAACAATTAAAATCAAGTTGATATCAGTTAGTCCTGATTATTTTCCAACAATCAACATTAATTATCGATAACAAATGTAATTTAATAACAATCAGACATGTATCAGTTTAAAATAAAACAAATTCTTGATTCTTTTTATTTAGATTAATGAAAAAAAATATGTATATCGATATATAGATATTCGGTTAAGCGTAATTATTCTCTAAAAAAAATAATAATAATAATAATAAATATTAGTATATTTATCAAATAAATAGTTTTTTTAGAATATAAATTATTCACTCAGAATATTCATAACCAACTAGCCAGCATGGTATTATTTCTAAAACTAGAATAATATAACCACCTGTAAGACGTCATTACTGTTACAAAGTATCCGCGAACAACAGACCAGCATAGTATAACTAGCTGGAGCGCCATAAATATGTTCAAGCTAGGTAAGCTAGATAACTAATTAAGCCACGCTAATTAAGCGTGTGTAACTCTCCCACATCAACAATATTATCTCTTTCTTAATTTCTACAATAAACTAAGAGGTCCTCAATAACAAGCGTCCGCAGGCAACAGAGTACATTGAACATATTCCAAGGATACTTTTCCCCAAGTGATATAATTATCCAGTTTAAATACCATTCGAATATTAAAAAATATCTTTAACCAGCTTCCCTTGAATATTCATTCATCATAGTGCAAAAGCTATTACGGTATTTTGACGACACATACCTTTAAAAAAGTTTTTTCAAAAATATAATAAAAATAAATATTAAAAAATTTTTTGTTTACGAGCAAGAGGAGAAAAAAAAAGGTTTTTATCGTTATACGTATCATATCTGATCAATCAATTATCAATTTGATTGGGTGTTATGAGTGTTACAGTGATGACCAAAAAATATAGATAACGATAATGATAATTCTGGGCAATATTTCAAGATCATGTGATTTGGCCTAAATTATGAATTAATGTTGGATTTAAAAAAAAAAATTGTCGACTCTATTATTTAAGTTTCATTTTGCGGAGGCTTCTGCTGACAACATGGAAAAATGGTTTCGTCTACCAACTATAGCTCAGCCTTTTATATTTCTTAGGAGTTCATCTTTCGCCAAGGTTTCGTCATTTCACCAGGGTTCTTTCACTGGTTTTAGGTATCATTATTCGTCATTACGTACATCTAACGACTATGTTCGAGATATATATATCAAAGAGCTCAAGAGTTATAGACCTACACAAGAAGTACATTCAATTTTTTTGCTATTGGCTTTTTAATCAAATATTTTAATTAGACTAATTTTTGCATAAAAGAAACCTGGTGCCGAAAGCGGTCTTGTGAAAGAACTTCGGTTGCCACCAGCTCCTCCGGTAACTACCAACTTGCGTATTATACCAATTACTTGTTATTTAATTAATTAATTAATTTCGAATTATTTAAAGCCACCGAATGTTTCTGAGGATCTTTCTGAAGAATTAGCCGCATATGATGCTGAAGATTTACATCATGAAACCGAAATTTCGTTTGGTTCCTCGTTTGAGGATCAGATTTTAAAAGATGAAGAGGAAGCACCTTCTCACGGTCATTAAAATAATTGTCAAATAATTTTTAATCATTAAATGATCTCATATTATCAGCCAAATGGTTTCATTATCAGCAAAGGAGATTGTAACAAAAAATTATAATGAAACATAAAATTACCACAAGTTTTAAATCCCATATCCCTTTTTGCAATTATGTTATATAAAAATATTGTTAATCATGATAATTAACCTAAAAATGACGTTCCAGACAATTTTTGGCTTCGGACATTTTTATGATACAATGATATTTTGATATATTGTGGAGAAACACTAACCAAATATAAATCGTTAATTGTGAAATACTACACAAGTGTTGCAAAATATGATACAAATATAAAACATTAATGAAAAAGATTCTCACTACGTATTCCTTTAAAAAAATTCATTCATACTGCGCCGTGATAAATTTAATCAATAATTAATGTGCATTTCTGTGCCCAATAATCACAATCGTAGCACAACAGGCATCCATTTTAAAACTGTCTATTTCTTGGTTTAAACGCTTCGTCCTTCACAGCCGAAAGAAACCAATTCATTCCTTTCCTTCATTTTGTTCGCAAAAAGAAAAATTATTATTTAACCTGGTTGTTTTTTCTTTCGCTGAAAGTTTCTAGATCTACTTCATTAGTATTTTTTTTTTTTAAAAAAATGCAAGCTATTAAATGTGTTGTGGTTGGTGATGGGTAAGTTCGCATTTTACAAATCTAGAACAGATGTACTATATTTTCGTCATCATCTTGAGCTGAAATGTTGACCTTTTGATGAATTTTGAATTTATAAGAACTTTGCTCGTCTCTTGATAAAAGCCTGAAAAATAAATATAGAAATAGCTTAACTGGGGTGTGCGAATCTATAATAACTTAAGATGAAATTGGAGGATATGTTTTTTTGTGACAAAATTTTAATTGATGAAATTAAATTACCATTATTCTTTTAGAAAATATAGTTAATAATTTTAAGCTTATGGTCTTGAAAGCACATATTTTTAATATAATAATAATTTTATAGTGCCGTCGGCAAGACTTGCCTTCTAATTAGTTACACTACTAATGCATTTCCCGGTGAATATATTCCAACGGTGTAAGTATTATTATAAAATCGTTCATATTTTGAGTATATTTATTTACTCTTCTTCTTCAGATTTGATAATTACTCTGCAAATGTAATGGTCGACGGTAAGCCCATCAATCTTGGCCTTTGGGATACAGCTGGTCAAGAAGATTACGATCGCTTGCGGCCTCTTTCATATCCTCAAACGGATGTATTTTTGATTTGCTTCTCCTTGGTTAGTCCTCCCTCCTTTGAAAACGTTCGGGGCAAGGTAATAATAAATTATTTTTGTCATTTACTCATAAATTATTAATCTGACTTAACAGAATTTTTTTTATCCTAATATATTTGTTTTATTTATTTATTATTTTTATTTTTTACATATATAGTGGTATCCAGAAATTACTCATCATGCACCCAATATTCCCATCATCCTTGTTGGTACAAAACTCGATCTTCGAGAAGATAAAGAAACCATTCTTAAGCTTCGCCAAAAATCCCAATCACCTATTACATACCCTCAAGGGCTGCAAATGGCGAAAGATATAAGTGCCGTGAGATATCTTGAATGTTCTGCTCTTACCCAAAAAGGTCTGAAAAATGTATTTGATGAGGCAATTCGTGCTGTTCTTTGCCCCGCTCCAGTGCAAAAACGCAAGAAGCAATGTGTAATTTTATAAACAACTTATGTGAATACATTGATTCTTTTTTTTTTTTCCTTTTTTTGCTAGCTTTCTTGTCTTTCGGCGATATTTCTTCTTTTTTCTCCTAGTTGTTCGTATCTGTGCACTTTGGAATCCAGACTTCTACATAAACTTGTTCTATCCATAAATTCCAAAACATGCATCAGAATTTTATAGTCGACTTCTCTGCACCAATTACTTCCTTTAATTCTTTAGCAATGTCTTCATTTAGGATTTCTCGCAGCCATTCCATATTTTGGGTTTGTTTTTCTTTTTTGGATGACTTTGTCATAATCTGCCTTAACTTGTAGAGA